GGGTTTCCTCATTTTTAAATGAAATACATCGGTCAGTGGTGGTGCACGCCCTTAATCCCAGCTCTTGGGACGCAGAGGCAGGTGGATTTCTGAGTTCGAGGCCAGTCTGGTCTACAGAGTGAGTTCCAGGACAGCCAGAGCTATACAGAGAAACCCTGTCTTGAAAAACCAAAACAAACAAACAAACAAACAAACAAACAAACAAACAAATACAAGGGCTTTTGCAGCCTAGTTAACTATTTACTTTTGTAATGCTGGGGATTGAAACAAGGGGTTCGTGTATGCTAGACAAGCTGAACTACATGCCTCGGCCCTGTTTTGAGACACCCTTCACCATGTTAAAAAAGGCACACGTTTTTGTTTTGCTGAAAATTTGCTTTACTTTTTTAAAACTGTTAACATACACTAACTTTTCTTATATACTTTTTCTGCTTTATTTTTTTACTTTATTGACATCATGTATTTCCAATGATGTTATTGTAGTTACATTGACCAGCTTATCAAAGTTAAGCCAACCTTATGTTCCTGGAGTAAGTCAATTTATTGTTTGTATACTTTGGAGTTTGTTTGACAGGGTTTCTCTGTAGCTCTGGGTGTCCTGGAACTTGCTCTATAGATCAGGTTGGCCTTGAACTCATGAGATTCAACTACTTTTGCCTCCTGAGTGCTGGGATTAAAGGCGTGTCCCAGCGTAGTTGTCTTTATGTTAATTTTCTTCTTAGCAGAAAGCAGCTCTTGCTGGTGCAGTAATGTCCCATGAGTACATCTATTTTTGTTGTTGAAGCCTACTTTCTACTTTTTCCTGAACTCATGAAAAGATTTTTTTCTTGTTCCCAAAGGATGTTTCCTGTCTTTCTCACTTCTTTCTTCTAAAACATATATTATTTGTTTTTGAGACTGGGTATTGATACCTAGCTTAGACTATCCTTGGCCTCAAGAGTCATGCATCAGCTTCCCAAGACCCAAGATTAAAGGTGTTTGTCACCACACCTGGCTTCTTCTCGTTTACAAAGGTGAAAAGGTGAACTTCTTCTTAGTCTTCACCTTTAGCTGATGATCGTGAAGGTTATGATCACAAAAGACTGAATATGTTCTGATCAAATAATACAGTAACAAATTCTAAAAAGCCAACTTTTGGTTCTAAATGTCTTTTACCATCTGTGTCACGTGATAACATCCTTCATCACTGTTATAATAGTCTTTCATGTCTTCTGTCAGAATCTGTGGAACTACGATAAGCTAGCTTGTTCAAGTAGGGCAAACTCTGAGACCTACACACAGGATCATTAAAACAGGAGAGTACTTTAACCTGCTTGAGGACAGTAATAATATGAGTCCAAATGTCTTCAATAAAAACACCTACTAATTTTTAATTTCTTTTCATATTAGTTCTGAATTTCATGAGCGGCTAAGTAAAATTGATAAGCTTAAGAATAGATATGAAATTCTTACTGTTGTCATGCTGCCTCCTGAAGGAGAAGAGGAGAAAACACAGTCCTATTATGTAATAAAGGTAACATTTACCTGCTGTAAATCTATGATTGTATGATTTATTCACTCAATATACATTAAAATATATATTCACACTTCACATCTCAAATATGCAAACCAAGTTATTTTGCTGTAACTAAGTCTAGCTTTTAACAGAAACTATCCATGGCTGGAAGTGGAAACAGTAGTGTCCTTTTTTTGTAAAGATGTCCTGAGGCCCACCAGTGACCTCATCTTGACATCTGCAAAGACCTGACTTCTCAGTGTGGTCACACCACAATCCTACATGTTAGGAGCACAGCACATCTTTTATGGCCACAGTAGCTCCTGGTGTTGGCCCAGCAGTAGCCTTTGGTATGTTGAACATACCAGAGTGTTTTCCATGTTTCAGCTTTAGTGTGTGATTCCACTTAAAAGCAAAACAGGAATAACATACCAAAGAGCTAGTTAGCATTCTTCACATTTCAATCCCAAGAGACTAAGTCTTTATAAGCCAACAGTTTTGTTCTGACCAAATTTGAGTGATACTGTCCAATAAAGTTATCTTAAAAAGCTGTGAAATATTAAAAAGTTATAACTGTTTATTTGGGGTTTCCCAACCCCAAATAAAATGTACTATATATATATCTATATAAAATGGACCATAAGCATATGTATGTATGGGTATATATACATTTATACTATAAATAAATGTACATCTATATGTAATCTTTTTGCCAACAGAGGGAATGATCATTTTAGAATTTAAAGGCACACCTAGAATTTTCAGAAATTTTTTACAGATGAAAAAATTAAGAATGAACTCAGTTGAGAGAGGTGACATTCACTAAAGTTACTCAACTGTCACAATCTGTCTCACTCATCCCAGTATGCTTTCACCACACTATTTTATTCAATAGAAATAGCAGCAAATCTGATTTTTATTTTGTCTTGGCTATACTTGACACATACAGATTGCATGTATTTCTATGCTACCTTGATATTTTCATACATCTACACATTTAAATTAAGGGTAATCACATTTCATGCATCATTTCTTTGTGAGTTATTATATAAATGTGTTAAAGGTTCAGTTGCCAGCTGATAGATTTCCTTCCCACCACCACCATGGCGGGGGGGGGGGGAATAACTGGCTCCTGAGGATACTAATCTCATCAGTGAATTAATTCATTGATATTTAATTGTATTACTGAGAGGTTCTGGGGCCTAGGAAGAAGCAGCTGGAGGCACTCCTGGGGAAGATTTATCTTGCCCCTTCTCTGCTTCCTGGATAACACAAAAGGAGCAGCTAAGGCTTAACCATGCATACCCTGTCCTGCTTTCTAGAACCCAGAAACAGGAGAAAGTGATGAGATAGAAGCCTCTGATACTGAGCAAAAATGCAGGTTTACTTGTCAAGTATTTTGTCACAGCAGCAGTCAATACAGGAATATTTGGTATAAAAGTATGTGTAACCTGTTTTAAAAGAATAAAAGTTACTTTGGTAAGCACCATCATATAGGAAATTTTAATATTTAAGCAATTTAAAGGTCTTCATGGTTTTTTTTTTTAGCACATTTACATCATTTGTACAGTTATCATCAAAATTAATTTTCCTTACGTGTGTCTATATGTGAGTGCAGATGCCCAAGGTCAGATAGATAAGTTGTAATTGTTTAGCTGTGGTTGATAAAATGATGTCAGATCTCTTGGAACTGGAGTTAAGGGTGGTTGTGAGCTGCCTGATATGGGGATTGGGAACCAGACTTGGGTTCTCTGGAAGAGCAGCAATGCTCTTAACTGCTGAGCCAACTCTCTGGCCCAAAAGTTATCTTTTTAAATTGTGATAGAATATATTAGAAGACACACCGACACTGCTTTCCCTGATAGATCCTGGTTACTTTTTATCATTTTCTGAATCAAGTAAGAATTGGGTTCTCAAACCTCTCTCAGACCAAGACATTCTTATTTATAGTCAAGATCTTTTGAGTCACCCTATCTATCTTCCAGAGATCTGGTAGCTGCTTAGCTCTCTTCACGCCACTCCCCCTCCCTGCACCTTCCTCCTGGTGTTTTATGTTGGCTACTTTTCCACCATGGTTTTGTATCCTATATATGTGTTGTATTTTAAAGCCTAAGAATTTGTTTGGTCTTGTGGATGAGATAAAGAGTATAGGAAGTAAATGCCTGGCAAGCAGGTGAAGGCCCTAAGGTAAGCAGCGATTGCTGTGACTTAATTATTTTCTGCTTTTGGCAATATCTCCTATGATAAATTACTTTAGCTCTGTTCTGTATCTTATAGGCTGCTCAAGAAAAAGAAGAACTTCAAAGAGAAGGTGATAGCTTGGATGCTAAGATCAACAAAGCTGAAAAAGAAATCTATGCTTTGCAAAACACCTTGCAAGTACTGAACAGCTGCAACAACAATTATAAGCAATCTTTCAAAAAAGTGACTCCATCAAGTATGTAGCAGCCATTACAACAAATATGATGACAATTACAGTTAATAAATGGAGAGGAGGAACATTAAGATTCTTGGAGAATAAAAGTGTGCTATGATTGGTCCTTAAAAAAAATCATAGTATGTTCCTCCCTCTTTGTTTTAATCACTATGAAGTATTATTTACATTATTAGTTTTATTGGATTAATGCATATCCCTTCAGGGAATTCGTTTTGAATCTGGAAAATGTACTGGTGCTATATACTGACTAAATAAGAAATGGCTACTACATGTCTATACTGTGTTTTTCATAAGGATCTAAGACATGTAACCTTTCATTTAAAAAGTTAGTAGTTTATTTGTTATTACTTTAAGGTAGCTTCCCACATATTATACTGGAAATTAAAATTCTCTTGTAGGTGATGAGTATGGATTAAAAATTCAGCTAGAAGAACAAAAAAGAGCTGCAGATGAGAAATACAGATGTAAACAAAGGCAAATCAGAGAACTTCAAGAAGATATCCAGGTGATTTCTACAGATGTTCTAGTAATAAGCCATAAATAAAAATACCATTATTACTACTCAATCTTGTACAAAAAACATCTTTAGAGAGGTAGGCCATGAGAAACTCAAACCTCATTTAAAGAAGAAAAACAAGTAAAGAAAATATAAAGCAAATTAGTTAAAATTCTATGGCTGAGAGGCAATAACTTTATTAGTATCAACCACAGCTAGACAATTATGATTTATCTACTAGCCATTACTTAGTGACCTCACTGAATTCCTTAAAGATCACATTCAATTTTTAAACACAAAGTTTAAAACAGAAAAATCTAGTTAAAGTAGCCACTAAAGCAAACCACTGAAAGGCAGAAGAATGTGTTTTGGTAAATTGGGCCTAGCTAAGGTAACGAACTGGTAACACAAATTATGAATCTTTGAAAAATGGATAATTTCAAGTAATTGTTTCTAAAGTTCCCAGGAGAATGAGATTCAAAACTAATTCATAGGACTACTGTATTCCTTATCCACTAATACAGTAAATATAGTACATAAATAAGACAAAAAATTCAAATTGAGGGAACAGCTGGCAAATGGCAAGCAATAAATCATATTTTTTTATTCTGATCATGAGTATGTTGACACTTTATTTTCTACAGAGCATGGAAAATACTTTTGAAGTTATAGAACACTTAGCAAATAACGCCAAAGAGAAATTATCAGAGAAACAAACACTCGCATTTCAACTTCGTAAGGAGACTGAGGAGCAGAAGCCGAAATTACAGCGAGTAACCAAGCAGGTGCTAGAGACCTTAAAGCTGACCCTAATACTCGCATCTTTCAACTACTAAATGAACTCAGAGCCCGCTTTCCTTAACTCATGGAAAGTAGTTTTATATAGTGCCTGACTTATTTATTAATATTAACAGTGTGGAAGACTCAGAAGAGAAATCCGCATTTTGAAACAAACAAATGATGAAACTCTAGAGGAACAAGACATTCAGCTCCGTGAGATCATACAGTTTCACAAGGACATTGACCAAATGTTAGTTAATGCCATGGAAAATGCAGAAATTCATGTCATTTTTCAAACGTATTTTCAGCAGGTAATAGAGTCTAATATAGTAGGTCTGTGTATCTAATTAACTTTCTTCTAAAGTGTGTAGGACTAATGACTGAAACATTCTTTCAGGATGGGTTAGAACTACCTACAGCAAAAGCCCCGAGCTCAAGAGCCTCTTCCCAGTCTTCACTTTCATCACTCAGGTAAGGGAAGCGGGTCCTCAACCTCACAGCTGCTACTGGCCAGCACACTACCCACTCAGCTACCTACCCACATCACTCACCTTCAGCAACCGCACTACGGTACAGACACACAGTATAGCAAGCTGCCTGCAGCTGCTAATATTTCTATTATGACACACTTACTGTAACTAGGAAGTTATTTTAGGGAACAAGGTTGAGTGAAAATTAGGGTAATATAGCAAACATTTTGGGTGAACTCTAACTCTAGGAAAATTTAAATCTTTTTAAACTCGATAAGAGTAAGTTAGATGCACAAATAACTGATTTTCTAATTATAGATGTTTATTTACGGTATCTTACTTAGCTTAATGCAAACCAAAATCTACCAGGGGGAATAAGTCTTTGTTGACATGTTGATCAATAATAAACCTGATTTTAAGATTTCTAATCTTCTACAGTTGAAAGTTATGTACTAGTTTTTATTAGTCTATGTAAGTGTTTCATTAAAAAAAAAAGAGAGAAATCCCCAAAGACAGTATTTTAAGCTTAAAAACCTTTTTTCTACATAAATATATCAAACTACTCAGTTTACTATATATTAAATTTTTCTGTACTTTTAATAAAACATATCATTTCAGAAGCAAATGGCTATTTTCCAAACCATCTCACCATCTCACTGCCAACCCCGTTCCTCTTCAGCGTAAATGACTTTAAACTATCATTTTGATCACCTTTTCAAGCACCCACTCCTTTTGTTTCCACCTTACAAACTACTGCTTCCAATTCTATATGAAACTGTTTACACTTGAAAATATTTTTCTCACAGAAAGAATTAACAATTTACTTAAACTATGTTCATTTCTTTTTTTGAAAGAATTGGTCATATTTTTAGATTTTATAACATTAATAGCTTTCGTAGTTCTTTAATTACTTATGGAATTAAAAAAATATTATTTTGCCAAAAGAAAGGTCTTTTGAAGTACATTTTGCATTAAGTTTATAGAAAATCCTTTCTTGTTCCAGGTCGCTCGAGGACTCAATTCCCCCCTCTCCACCTACAGCTAAAGTGATACAGCTCAGATTCCCTGAGCCTCCGCCAAGAAGTGATAGCTCTAGGTCAGCTAGTAGTGGCAGTAATTCCAACATTCCTAAACAAAAAAAGCTCAACAAATAAACATGCTTCTTTTAATCTTTTGTACAAATTTTGAACACAAATGAAAATCTTATTACTAGTTAAGTCTCCCTCTTTTCCTGGGGTTCCATTTATCGACGATATAGGCTTACTAAAATAGTACCAGAAGTATAGAGCAGACAAAAGTTCTTCACAGTGGCTGTAAAAGCTGTTTGGGAAAAGAACAAAGGGAGTTTTTGTTTGTTTTTTCCTACTGTTTTATTTATAGTGAGGGAAAACTGCAGAACTTTAGCCAAGCCATGTGACAAAGCAGAGGGAAATCAGCAGTTTCTCTTTTTTACTAGAACATGTCTATAGTGTTAGATGTTTTATGAAGTAACACATTTATAAGATTCTTTCACTAATACACTTCTAAAGATTTATTCTATATCAATAGGGAAGTTTTCATTTACTCTAGATCACAAATTACTTTTTAAAATAAAAAACAAAAAGCAAACAACCGTATTCTTCAGATTTTTTTTTGGGGGGGTAGGCATGAGGGAGGAAACTGGTAAAGGGCATATTCTGTTTGTTTGTACTGGTTATAACGTGTAACCAAAAAGACACCATCACTCCCACTCCCTCAAGAAAATAATGTAGTAAGAAAGACACTGTATATATGTGTGTGTACATATACACTTATCTCTGTACATGCACAAATAAAGTACAACTTAAGCGGCTAAAAATATTTCTTCTCTGACCTTAAATTTACACTGGAGGTAGATATTGCATACTATATTTAAAATTGTTTTTTCTAGTTAATACTTTATTTCCAGCACTTTGAATTTTTCGGACTTACAGTAGGAGACAATTTCAAATAAATTACAATTCATGTATATAAATCAGCATCTCCTTTAAACCTGGGGCAAAATAGTTATTACAACAGTGATTGTCTTAGAACCACTACTCAGTTACTTCTGAAAAAAGCAGCAGTGGTAGTAAATCTGTTTCTACTAATGATCATTTTAAATTTAGAAACATAGTTAAGTCTAATAAGTAAAATGGCTAAGAAAACTCTGGGCACTTTTTGGATCAAATATTGCCTAGATGCACAACATGTAAGATCTAAAACTGATTAATCGTATCATTTTTTAAAATCAATGTTATGATTTTCAGTTGTTTTAGTTTGTAAGTTACTTAAATCATTAAACTTTGTGTTCTACAAAGGCAGAGGTTTTGTTTCTAGGGAGACTACTTTTCTAAGCTTTTTCTTTTCGTAATTTAGAGGTAATTATCACAGGCTTACTAAAGTAACACATAAGCAAAACACACTGGCACTGAAATAGGGCTAACTGCATAATAAATAGTTAGCTACTAGACCCTACTCTGGAATGGCCAGCATCCAAGTTTACATTTAACCACTATACTAACTACATGTAATAATGCTAAATTTTAAGACAAAGGATGAACCCTCTGTTTGCAGATCTGGACTAAGAAGTTATAGTTACTCTTGGAAATTAAGACAAAGCTGTCCAGGGTACATACAAACTATGGACATATTAATGTAAAAGAAAATACTGAAGACAGAACTGAGAATCAATTTAAATCCCCAATATTTTTTTCTGTGACAACTCCTTAAATATTCCAAGGAACTGGATGCTTAGTGTAGTCTGCTTAGCTTAGTATGTCCTAGGAAAGATGTAATTTTCAAAGTCTGACAGCCTACCCTACAAGGCACTATCCTAAGGGTTAAGTAAGGTTATATGTGTAAGGTTATAAGGTGTACTAGGGATTCTCAAAGATCAAGGGGTGTACAGAGTGGTGTTTTTTACCCTTTTAACAACAACAAACCCTAGCTATGTAGGAATCAGTCTGGAACTATTAATACATAGAATACTCTTAGGAGTTCCTTGGTGCTGGGATAGCAAAATGGCTCAGTGGACAGAGGTACTTGCTGTCAAGCCCAATGAGCCAAGTTTCATTCCTGGGACCTGTAAGGTGGAAGAAGAAATTCCTTCAAGTTGTCCTTCAATGTCCACATATGTGGCACACATGCTCATCATCCTCACCCCAGCCCAAATAATAATAATAATGAGTTCCTTGGTGTAAAAACAAATGTTGAAGTGATTATATTTCTGCTGCCATTATTTATTGTTCTTAATCAAGGTTTCTTTTCTGTATTGTACTGTAAAATAAATGTTATTTTACAGTAGTTTTCCATCACTATAATTTGGTATAAATACTATGTGTCAGTATTAAAGCTTTAGTATTTTACTGGTAGAAACAAACATGCAATGAGTCTCTTCTATTTCTGCCATTCCTTCATGCATGTCTGACGATGGATCCCATCCAATGACCAATAAGAGATTAAAAGCTTATTGCTATTTATACTTTCTAGAATCCTAATTTAAGAGCATCAGAAATGCAGCAGCTATGATACTTACTGATCTTGCCAAGAGTCTACTAGTCTACTATTCACTTTCTAGTAATTCAGAGGTGTTCTTTGAAAGCTGAAGATGATTTCTTCTTTAGCTGTTTGTATGTATAGGTCCACACATGGTACTCTGTGTGTGTGTGTGTGTGTGTGTCTGTCTGTCTGACAGAGGACAAGCTTTGGGAGTCAGTTCTCTCCCTACACCATGGGGTCTTGGGATTAGACTCAGGTTATCTGGCATGGCTGGTACTTTTATCTACTGATCCACCTCAGAGGCTTGGGATTTACTCTGGATTATTTACTAGGATTCAATGAGGGGCATCAATAAAGGAGGAAAGTGACAGATAAGAAAACTAAAGCTGCAAATCAACCCTCTGCTACTGAGAAACATGCCTACTGACTTTCCAAACATTTGCAATGTGATAGCAGAAGAAAATCAGATTTATAGGGTGCTTCTCTGCTGCTATTTTTATTAATAATTATTTCCTATTCTCATCTAGTTTGATACAGAATTCTCAAAGGGTTAGGTCAGTGTTTAAAATTAAGGATTTTCTTATGACTATAACCATTAAGTAAAAATAATATTGGAGAAATAAAATAGGCTCTGATTAACCAACTTTCGTGGTCTTATTCTTAAGGTATTTTGTTAATCTGGGAAGAAAACAGTATTCACAAACTATTGATATCAAGTCTTAGATAAGTCAAGTCATAATTTATCACTTAAAAATGAAATGGTGTAAAAATTTTAATACTGAAAACAAATGACTGAAAATAATATCTAAGAAACATTCAACCATAAATTGTTCCCCATCCCCAAAGGCTAAGGGCTTTTAACAAAAAACAGAATAAAGTATTTTTTGATAAAACAATCAAATTGTTCAATGCAAACATATTTTTCTAACAGTGAAATAAGATGGACCCAAGGAAGGATTCTCACAAACCATATTACAGTGAAGAAACAAAGTACTCAGAAAATATCTTTATGTGAAAAAGTCTGAGTTGTCAGTTAAAAGCTGTGTCCACACATACCCACACCACTGACTGACAAAGGGGCTGATAATTAAAACAGCCTTTTGTGATCTGCTACAAATAAATTTAGACTTAGAACTATTTGTTAGGGCTAAAGAATCCCCAAACTTCTGAAAATTAGTGTACATTTCCTTAGCAGATCATTTTTTTGGCTTATTTCCTTTTTCTTTTTCAAATTCAGCTATCTGATTAAATATATTGAGTAAATTTTGAGGTAAATTTTTCTTAACTCTGCTTTCTGGCTGCTCTTTGCTATTGAGCATCTCTTCTGGAGCCTCAGTTTTGTTACCCTCCCCACAGCTGTCATCCTTTTCATACGCACGCTCTCCCTGATTTGTATTTAACTGGTATCTTTGCTCATGTTTACTGACATCCCGTGATCCAGAGTACACATATTTTTTTTGTTTTTCAAGTGACTTCCAAGAGTAGTCTGAACTTGCTGGTGAAGTAGAGTACTTCCCAGAACTTGGCTCCCACCTTCTAGAGTAATCTTTTTTTCCCTCCGTGTCCTTTTCAAATCTTCGGTAACTAGATGCTTTCATCTTGTCCTCTGAATTTCTAGAGAAGGAATCTGAGGAATTTCTCCTACTGGAGAAATGTCTTTCTGATTTATATGGCTTTTCGGTTTTGCTACTACCTGCCTGGGTTTTATAGCTATTGTAAAAATCTGACCTACCTCCCAAATCATCTGGTACTTCAACTGAAGATGTCAGAAGGCCTCTTTCTTTCTCTTTTACCTGTGCATTTGGACACTGTAACCTATCCTGCTTTTCCAGCAGTTTCTCCATTTCTTGCTTTTGATTAAGGAAAGATGCTGAGGTATTAGTTGGAACCGGATAGCAATCATCTTTCCTACTTTGATCTGTGTGGCCTGAAGATGTCCTAGACCAGTGCCTCTTGGAACTGCGAGAAGACTCCGAACGATTCCTCTTAGTTTTCTTATGCCGTTTGTGGCTAGAAGAGGAAGAAGATGAGGAAGAAGAAACGGATTCATCGGCAGAAGAAACACTTGAAGAGGAAGAAGATGATTTTCTTCTTTTCTTCTTTAGCCTTAAAAAAATTAGTTGGCTCATCAGACATGTTAAGTACAAAAACATTAGTCAAATATTCCTTAAGATTTTACCCTAGTTTGTGTCACTTGAAGATGTTGTAAATTAGCTACCACTCAGACATAATACCAGTCTCAATTACTTCATCAAGTTTTCTATGAAGTGTGACTTTTGAGAACACCTATGACGAAAGGTGTCACTACAAGCAAATCCAGGACTTGTGAAAGATGAGTAACCTTTCTAGCATTGTTTACTCTACCTGAACATGTAAGAAGCAGCCTGAGTTTTCTATCTACCTATCCCTAATTTCTTCCTGTTCCCCTTCAGCATTATTTACATTTTGGGGCCAAACAGTTCTTAAGAGTAGCCTGTCCTGTGTACTGCAGGGTGTTGGTACAAAGGCTCCTCTATCCTCTACACACTAGATGCTAGTACTTTCCCACAACTATCAGTAACCACAGAACAAAACCACGAGTACCTAAGATCCGCAGCTCCTCTTCTAAAAGCCGATCTCCCAGAAACAGTTAAAGGAACTTAATTTATATTTCAATGTAATTTTTAAAGCGAAGTCTAGCCTTAGATTTTATTTTGCTTAATTTCTTAATATGTGGAACTATGCTTGCTAAGAATTATGACTTGGGATTTTTTTTTACTTACTTTACCTCCATATGGCACTTTGGGTTCAACTCTGTTGCTTTTAAGTTTAAAAAAAAATAGTGAATATTATAGTTTACCTTTTCTCCTCTTTTAAGAGCTTACGCAACTTTTCTGCACTTGTTTCTATTTTCTTTGTTTTCTGCTTTTCTTCCTTTTCAGCTTGTTTTTCTCTTAATTCCAAAGATTTCTTTTAGAACCCAGATATCGGAAAAAACCACACGTTAAAAATAAAAATAGCAAAATATGCAAAAAACAGTATTTAAAAACCACCCCCCAACCAGAAACCCAATTTAGGATAACCAAATCACCATATAGCCAATATTAAACAAGTTATATTTTTCCAAATAAAAAAATTAATGACACACATTTGGCATTAAATCATTTGAATGGCCAGAACAGTATTGAGGACCATATTGCAGTTGGTATCCCAGAAAAACAGGGAAGCCATTGCAGTAGTACCAATGACCCAGAATGCAAGTAAGATTTAAAAAGAGATGAAAAATTATTTTTTAAAAATGAGAAATTGTAAAGAGGAAACAAATTTTACAAATAAAATTTAAATTAGGACATTCCACAGAGGTGAATTGAGGGGAAAATCACCATGTTCAAATACAAACCATTTTAAAAATAGCACAGCCCAGTTGGATGCATGATTACATAAGAAATCATTTTCCAGTTTGTGGATGGGGATGAGCAGCACCAGATGTCACAGACACAGCAGCAATGGTCCAATTCAGAAGAAAATGCATGAGAAAACATCATCATCAGTATTACAGGAAAGGACAAGTAAAAATGTCTACAAAGGTCTGCATAATTAGCTCAATTATACCAGCAATACTCATAATCTTATAACCATCAGGTACGCTCTCTTCAAAGGAGAACAATCAATATCACATACTGAATTAGGCATACGCATCTTCATATGTGGCTATTTTTACTTTTGAATAAACAAAAAAGCAGTGGTACTATAATGCTATGCAAACCTAATTAGGACAAGCTATTCACTTTCCTAATACTTCACCTAGGTTACCTAGTTTTTCCTAAAAGAAAACGATATTTAATTTTAAATATCATTACATTTCAAAGAGGAAATAAAGAATCACCTGCATATATTTATGAAGTTTCTGCAAAGCATCCTCTGCATCTTTAAAAGTCTCATCCAAAGCCAGAGCTTTCTTATAGTAACTTTCAGCATTTAAAAACTTTTCTTCTTCTTCTAACCTTAGGAGGATTAAGCATTTTGTAAAACAAATTTATCCAAATACATAGAGAAATCATCAGACATTTATGGCAGAACTTATTAGAGGCAAGTAATGCTTAGCAAATTATTTCTAATTACCTATTCATGTTGACTTAGTAAAAAGACTACTTAAATGAAAATCCATTACTAGTACCTAAAACAATACTAGTATTTTTCCTTAGAAATAAAGGAAAATACATACATAACCTGTTGTCTGAAAATTTAGTATGATTTTTGTCATTATAACAGAGTTAGATATACATACACATAGTTGTAGATAACGTTATAACCTACAATCACTATTGTCATATAATCTTCAAGTCTAAACTATGAAAAATCAGAATGTTTTTCAGGATGTGGTGGCATACACCTATTATCCCAGCACTTCGGAGGCAAGGGAGGAGAAAGGTACTATGATTTTAGGCTAATCTGGTATAAACAGCAAGTTCCAGGCCAGCCAGGGCTACATAGAGAAAGGAAGTTTGGTATAGGGCAGTCAAAGGACTTACCAAGTACTTCTAGTTAACAGAAGAAAAAAATTATTACTACAAACCAAATGGGATTGGTTTGTGTTAGTGGACTGGATATGGGGAGCCAAGGGACAAGTAAAATCACTACCAATAGTTGTGATTGGATAACTGGTTAATGTAGCATTCTCTCAGTTAAAAGATGCCAATACATCAGGAATAAGACAACCTCATTTCAGTGGTACTAGCTGTTTACTTGCTAACAATGAAAGAGCTTCTCCAGCCACTGACTAAAATTTCATTAATTAGTAACTTGTGGGCATTTTCATCCCACAAATGCTTAGGTGCAATGCTCATCCAGGCAAGAATGGCCAGGAAGATCTGTGATACTGAAGAGATCAGTCTTTCTTCAGTCATAGCAGAGAAAGGACTAGGGACGTAGCTCATTTATAGAGTATTTGCCTGGCATGTTTGACATATCAACTGGGTTGGTATCTGGGTTCCATTCCCAGTATTGCAAAAAGAAAAGAGAAACAGCACAATGATGTTACTGCCATAAGTGGCTTTTAGTTATTAAAACTGATTCCTGCATGCCAGAACATGGTCCATGAATGACAACATGTGAGATTTCTGAGAACTTGTAAGAAACTTCAAGTAAATAGGAGTCTTGTAGCCTCTGTCTCTACTATGGCTTTGTTCTTGGAATGTGCTTTCAGGTCCCCCACCTCCCGATCCCAAGTGTAGTAAACAGGAGTGGGTTTGCTTCAGATTACACACTGTGCTTACTTTTGTTGTTCAAAAATGTTACCAAGCTCAGGTTGCCCTTGTGACTGTATGTAGCCTGAACTCATATGACTCTGCCTACCTCTCAGAATATGCTTGGAACATAAACTGTCTGTTGCTCTGAACAAAGTTGCTATTGCATGAAACTTTAGTCCACCTGACTTTTAGGCTCCACTCTCCCAGGTTCATGCTGCCAACTAGAGCAGCAACAATGCAAATATTTTAACTCCACCATTGAATCTGAATTTGTGGGACTTACCAGAAAGAATAGAGCTATAAGCTGACTATACGAGCAGAATCTTAATCATAATTTGCTAGAAATCACTTAATTCATATTTAGAATATTATATACTATTACAATAAATGACTGAAAAATTAAATACTAAAGCAAAACCTTCTGATATGTACTCTTGAAACAGAACATGTAACTTATTCTATTGCACTTTATCTATATTTCTATGTAACAAAAAAGACATTCTGAGCAATTAACCCCGAGATACTAAAGCATCTCCAGTCACAAAGACACAGACATACACATGTACACACATGTGCACATTCAGTAATAAGCCAAGAATAAGGGACAAAACCCCTGCCACCCAAAACTGAAAGTGTGCTCTGAAACTGCATATGCTAAGAAGCTATATATATATATTTTTTAATAGAAACCTCAGTGTATCACAGGAATTGGCTGACTTTTACTATTAAATGAAATCCCATACTTACTGCCCTCCTCTTTCTACAAGTGTCTGGCAGAGATATTTCCTTGCATTCCTGTGAGTTGGGCAGTTTTCTAATGCAAGCTCAAAATCTTCTATTGCTTTGTTCAGACTTCCTTTTGTTGCATATCTAAAGACATTAAACAAAAGTAGAAAAATTTAATCTTGTGACCCATTTTTCACATTCTTCAAAACATCTCCTTAAAATCCACAGTTCACTTACAATGCCCCACGAGCTACCAGAGCTTCCACATTTTGTTTGTCTATTTCCAGAGCTTTATTGTATTCGTTCATAGCATCCACATGTCGCCCCACCTTAAAATAATCGACTCCAATCTTCACACTGAAAACACATTTGTGAAACATCACAAATATTTTATAAGTATCTAAGTAAAATGCTAGTATAAATCATTATTAAATGAAAAGGCACTTAAATTGGACAGAAATTTAATTTTTAAATTACTCTCAATATACTTAAAAGGCACCCTGTTTTACAGATTCTCATGGCAAACATTTATAAACTTCAGATACCAAGACACTAATTTTTTCTGGAAAACAATTCTGAACAAAATTTGTCTGCTAAGATTCCAATGTAAGACCAATATAATACCTATATGAGTAATGTCAAAAATGTTCATTCACTTGTAAACACATTTTAGTCTTAATGATGAGAGAATTCGTGTCTGACTAAAAGTTTCATACTAGATAATTGCCACTGTTAGAACAATCTCCATACCATTTTAAAGCCCAAGATGCTGACTGTTTCTTTCTTAATGCTGAAGCAAAATCATCTTCAGAGAAATTTTTGCTATAAAGAAATGAGAGTAAAAAATGTAAATACTTTAGAAGTACACTTCATTCTGTCTCTGGTAGATACAACAGTGAAACAGTGAATTTTAAGCAGGAAATTCATATTACATCTATACAGGCAAGTCCTTTTAAACTGTCAAATGTGAATATTACTGTTAAATGGTATTTTTCTTAAGCATATACATAAAATGTTCTGTATCCTCCTCTACCTGGTCAAATGGCATCTCCCTGACATTGCTTGGCATGCAGACCAGGAGGAGATAGGCTCACTTCACTCTCCCTTCAGTGTATTCTGATGGTCAAATGTTCTTCAGCTAGACAGCTTCTGAGCTAACCCACTCCCCTCACCACCTTTTTCAGCTAAGAGGATGCATATCTATTTTTACCTTTGTAGGCCTCTCATTAAAGATGGTGGATGAGATTCGTCTATTCCTAGTTTCTCTAGAAGGAATTCAACTACTCCTGGATTAACAAATCCCAGAGAACTCTGCATGATATTTTCATAGGACTCCAAAGAATTACTATTTAGTTCAACACTCCTCCTTTGTTTAAAAAAAAAAAGAAAAAGAAATCAGAAACACAAACAATATTAATGACACCCACCCGTCCTCTACTAAAAACATGACTATAGTAAAGGTCTCAATTCTAACGCCACTTCTGTACACAAGAGTCATGCACTATTATCATATGATTCCTTCTAGCAAGCCAAAAGTAATTTAAAGGTCATAAAATGAAATTGTAGTTCTAATTTGTTAGAAATGGATAAAAGATAAATACCTGTAATACAAAGGAAGCTCTTCAGAAGTAATCACACCTAGTTTAATGCCAGACAGGTGTGGAGGAAGAGATGAGCTATACAGAGATACTGCAAGCTTTTCATGGTATCTGTCAATATCCTTGATTCCAGCTTTCAAGAAGAAAAACGGATCAAACAATAACAAAGTGAAAACAAAAATAAACTTTTCAAACACTACCTTCATTAAACTACATTTTCAACATTAATTTGAAACTTTTAATTAGCATGTTGAAGCTGATCACCTCGAATTATGTCACCAGTTTGGTAGTATGATAAAGGATCTCCATGGTTACTGTGAGAAGGCACATCTCTTAAAGGACAAAGAGCCTGAAACGAGAAGTATTTGAAAACACCACACATTTGACTTTTTGGCAAGAACAGTATCTCTTATCTTATTTATTATGAATGGTAATATTGCACATGAACATTAACAATTCTAAAATCTTACACTATTTTCTTTTTAAACAATCCATAATTATACATTATTTACAGGGTACAATTATACAGTATTTACAGGGTGGCAAATCAGAACACATACACAATTATCCTATGGGTAAACATTCCATTGGGTTTAAGTCTTCAGATTCTTTTCTAGTCGCAGACCGCCCATCCTCCTGTGCTGCAGAACATCTAGATTCTAATCTAACTGTCTTTGATATCAGCTCTCTACCTCCCTTCAGTCCTCTCACCCCTTGCTGACTCTGGCTACACTATTGTGTTTTTCAGTATCAACTTTTTGGCTACTATACACAATGTGAACATATAATATTCGTCTTTCTGTGTTTGCCTTTCATCAGAGACAGGGTCTTTCAGGCCATCTATTTTTCACAGATGGCACACTTTCATTCTTTTTGATGGCTTTAAACAACTGTTAACAGACATGTCTGTGACTTAAATTTAAGATTTTTAAGTTACAATTGTGTCCAATCACAATAAAACTTTTTTTCCAGTTTTAAGAATCAAATAAAGAAAAAAAAAGAATCAAATAAAGATACAAAAGATATTAGCATTTGCTAAATGAAGTGTGCACTCTCTTGTTTGTGTTTCTTCTCTTCATATGGTAAGACAGATAGCCAACATCGACAGTGTTAAAGTGAAGCATTCCAAACGAGGCAAGTATCTTATTACACTGAGAGAATGTTATATGTTTATTATAAATATATGATAGGAAGGTTTTGGTGAATTACTTATATGCAAACATCTAGTGCCCAATTATTAAGCATATGTTTAACCACAAGCTATCTGTTCAGAATACCAATGAACAGAATCATAACCACTAACAGATCTTTATGATGTAAAAAAGGAAACTGACCTGCAACTAGAGTCCCCAAACCCTAAAACACCCAAAATGGAGGAAATGTAACACTGTAGTACTTGTTTTTTTGAGATAAGGTTTCACTACAGAGATCAGGCTGGCCTTGAACTAAAAGTTCAGCCCACCTCTGCTTCCTGAGTACTCGGGTTAAAGGCATGCATTGCCAATGTCCAGCTCTCTAAAGCTTTTAGTAAGAAGAGCAACTCAGCTCTTCAGCTTATATTTAACCCCCCCAATATCCTATCAGGTAAATTTATGAAGAATTGGATAAGCAGTGACTATAGACAAGTGATGACTATAGAGTGACTTACTGTGATTTCTAAGTGAGATATATCTCTCATGATGCCACTTCCTAAACAGATCAACACCATGAAAAAACCAAATTCCCGAATAGAGCTAATTCTTCCAATCACTATATCACCACGTTCAATATCTCGGAAGAACAGTTCTCTCCGGTCCATGCTTGGGATCTCCATGAATTGCTCTAAAGGTGGCATGACTGCATAATGATCTGGAATCAAATCAAATCAAAACGATAATTTTGACTTCCTTCTTCTTTGATATACTGCTTTAAACCAAGCAATCAATCTTGAAAAACTTTCCAGACTAAACTTACTGTCATTGTCATCATGCACGTCAGAGGGTGTAGATGCATCTGATTTCCAAGACAGGGCAAAAAGCAGATCCGCTTTTTTAGAGATGAATTTCTGTATTTCAATGTTGTCAACTCTCTTCTCTTTCCTTCAAAGAAAGATGAAAAACATATATATATATATGGGGAGGGAGGAGCGCGAAGCTCGCAAATCTCTCATACATCCAAACGGATGTACGGAGGTTTTCATTACCCAATCCTGCTCAGAGTCTCTGGAGGTTTTATTTCAGTATTTTAGCTTTTCAACATGTATTTATTTATTGCTGATATGTGGCGTCTACGTGCCACTGTGTGCAACTCGGGGGTCATAGGACAACGCTGGAATTCGTTCTCTCCTACCCTTGTGAATCCCGGGAATCAGTCAGGTCAGGACGCTCGCTGGCAAGTGACTTTACCCACTGAGTTCCGGAAGAAGTTTTAAGCCCATTCTCTCTGGACGTACTACTTGGACACGGGAGCTTTGAAAGCTCTGGCTCCTTCTGTTCGGAAGGAGCAAGCCGGCCATTCAGCCAGGAGCCAGTGCCCGGACACACACCCCGGGGCTCCGGCTCTCCAGTCTGCCCCGCGCCCTGGCCAGGCCCGGGTTACGGCCCCCATACCTGCCGGCTCCCGGAGGCGGCGCCGCGCCGCGGGCTGGCTCGGCCGCCGTGCCCAGAAGGCTCCGGAAGTGCGGGTTGTCTTGCTGCTCACTCCGCAGCAGCGACAGCAGCGCCGGGCCGTGGCAGCCCAGCGACTGCCGCAGCAAGTCGCGGTCCATGGCGAGCCCGCCAGGGTCCGGCTCCCGAGCCCGCGCTCCCGCAAGCCGAGAGAAGCTGCCCCCGACGCGCTAACCTCCCGGAAGCGCTCGCGACTGCGAGCTGCCTCAGTCTCGCGAGACCCGGCGGGACTACGGGAACTCGCTGGAAGCGCGAAGCTGGTCTGGCGCTGGGCGGAGTAGAGGTTGAGGTGTGATGTGCGGGAACGCTTCCATTAAGCACGCACGTCGGGCTGTGGTTCCTGGGTCGGAACGGCCAGAGCTCGAGTTTCTGTTCACTCCGTGCTGCCGAGTTTGTCGGTGCAAGGAAGTCTGTGCGGCCGCGGAGGAAGTTTCCTCAGTCCCATCTGCTGGGGGCGGTGCCCCGTGTTTTCTCAGGATTGTCTCAAGGTGGCGGTCCCGGGAAAGCTGCCTGGTGGACCGAAGGGGCGAAGACAGACAGGGACCTATCGTTGACTTAGCAGCCGGAGGTGTGTCCACCGTGCACCTTGTCTTTTAGAGGGACTTCATTGTCACTAGCCCGGAGAGTTTTTAAAAGTGCCCCGCGCATGCTCTGTTCTAGTCGGGGTGGTACAGGGGATAGAAGTGGTGAAGGAAACTGAGAAAGCAGAGTGTTCCAAACAGATTTTTCACTGCCTGGTTTCTAGCCCTACTTTTATTGTGATTTCAAATTTCATTTTAAAGTAAACACATATGTGTATCCTGTAACAAACACTAGACTCTAAAAGTGAAAATACGCCTGGCTCAGAGTGACTCTGTTTAGTGATGGAATATACATAAGACTATAGATATACAGCCGTAACACAATGGTAATTAACGTTGGGCGCTAACTAAGGTGTCTCCTCAGGTCCTTCTCTAGGCAGAGGGTAATGGAGTTGCTGGGGTAGTTAGAAGAGGAAGAGTTAAATAAGGGCAGTCTACACATGGGACAGTATAATTAAAGAAGTACAAATGTGAAAAATCAAGATGTATTCTGGAGACCACAATGTGATATTAAAAATGTAGGGGTATCTCTATTAACAGACATTCTCATTATATAAACACCATTTCAGAAGGGGCGCAGAGAAAGAAAGGGAAGGAAGGAAAGATGGGAAAAGAGAAAAAGATTAACTTCATGACTTATTTAGCAAAAAAACCACAGAAATTTAGTTCAAACAAGGCAGCCATATTGAGCAGTAACTGAAGTGTATTTTAAGATAGTTTTTTTGATTTCCCAAAGTAACATGTACAGTCTGGGTTACCATTTCTGAAGGATGTACACGTAACGTTTTACTTCATATGACACATGCATATGTAGACGGGCTCTGGTTCTTGATCCTACTGTAAACTGTCAGCAGACCTTATTTCCATCGAGGCCAAGGAAAGTGTGTATTTGGGAAGGCAGGGACGAAATAATACTATATCTGTTTTCATTTTCTGCTTCTTTTTATGATTGACTCGCTCCAAAAGTAGACATTACCCGTTTATATATTTGCTTCGGTTCCTTGGGCCAGAGTTTCATGTAGCTCAGGCTAGCCCTGAACTGGTGTAGTTGGGGGTGACTTTCTGAACTTAGATCCTCCTGCTTGCACATCCTGAGTGCTGGAATTATGCTACCATGTACAGTTTATGCAGTGCTGGGTATGGAAATGAAGGCTTTGTGCGTGCTAGCAAGCACTCTGCCAGCTGAGTACACACTTACTCTCAATTATACTGAATCGGTAGCAAAAAGTTTAGAGCTTTAGTACACCTGACAGGCTTACATATATGTTATTCTTTTTTTCCTGTTTATGTTTCCACTATTTATGTTTATCTATAGCAACACTGTTAGTCTGTGATGATGGCTTTACTAATAGGAACGTTGTAATCAGTTGTATTCTGGTAGAGGTGATTGAGTGTGAGATTCGGGAAGATCAGCCAGGGGAGAAGCTTTTTGAGATGTGAGACCACAGGAGACCACTTAGGAAGCCAGTGACACATTCATTAGCACTGGTTACACATTTACTAACAGCACCTCCATGCTACCCACTTACACAGTAGGAAACACTTTAGATAGTGTCGATAAAGAAGAGAAAACAGAGGGACAGGATCTGGGAGTTGAAAATCATCACAGAGAGTGGGCACTAGCTATGAGAAATGAGAAACAACCCACAGCCAGCCCTGGCAGCCAAGGCAGCAGATGGCCAGTGCTGTCAGATTCCACACAGACAAAGATATGGGAGTATCAGAAACACACAGAGGCCAAAGAGGAAGAAATCAGCATTTGACTGCTTAGACATACTTATCAACATAGTTTACAAAATGTTTTGCATTAAAGAAAACCACTTCAAATAAAAAAGACATTCATTTTAAAGTATTTTTAGATTCACAGCAAATTGAGTAGACGATACAGACATTTCCCTAGTATTACATATGCATAGCCTTCTTCATCAAAATTCTCCACCAGAATGGGACATTGGTTACAACTATGAAACTCAACAATGAGCCTACATTGACATGTAATATCACAGATACTCCATGGTTTACTAAAGAATTCATATGATGCAGACAAATACATGTGTTGCACATCACAGTAGCCTACAAAACAGTTTCACTGTCCTAAAAAGAAAAAAAAATCCTCTATAGACTCTGTTCTTTCTTCCCCAGAAATCCTAATAAACAACCTTTTACTGTCTCTATAATTTTCCCCTTTCAAGATTATCATTAGTTTGAATAGTTCAGTATGTAGCCTTTTCAAATTTGGTTCTTTCACACACACACAGACACACACACACCCAAACGTGTGTCCTCAGTCTCTTTTGGTAATTTCTCCTTAATGCTGAACAATAGATATTCTATTGGCTTATGACACCTACCCAGTCTACATCGGGGAAGCTAGTTTCCTTTACTAATTTAAGTCCATTTAAATAGCACTTTCATCTGAAAATATTCTCATAGACACACCAAGAAATATTTTGTCATCGATCTGGCTATCCCTTAATACAGTCAAACTGATAAATAACATGTTTATACATGTATAAAATGAATTATTTTTAATATAAATGTAAACAGTGATTATTCTGGTAGCTGTATTCCTTTACTTTTGCTAGTCCCTGAGAACCACACAGAGAAACCAAGGTTTATTTCAAGCTGCACCTCAATACTGGGCAGATAAATGATTTATTGTAACCCCTCTGCTAATCTGGCTACCCGTAATGACCCATTCTGCCCTACGTTTGGGGGCCACTTTGTCCTGGCCCGAGCTGCTGCTCCGGTCCACGGGTCAGGGTCTAGCAAGAGAGAGAGTGGGGATGGAAGGGCAAGAGACGCGAAGAGTGGAGACAATACAGAGTTTGATCAAGTCTCTCTTTATTGAAAGAAAATCCTGGGTATTTATATGCTTTTCTACGTGCCTTGCCCTCGTGGACAAGCAGGGGAACACAGCTGAAGGCACTATGCCACGTGCCTTGCAGCGTGAATACCAGGTACACCTTGCAGCTGGGGGCACTAAACAGTGTAACAAGGTGTTTATCGGGGTGTGCTCAGCTGTTGTGGGCTGTTGAAAACAAATCTCTTGTCAGGGTATATGGCCTGAGATGGCTGCAAAGATGATAGCCGCTTTCTGCTAGGAGTCGGCTCCCAACAGCTACCTCTCAGCACATCCCAATATTATTATTGATCTGGCTCTTTGGGCTTTAGATTGTTTTTCTTCCTGGACTCTCTCCTCTCTGTGGCAATCTGAAACTGCTCCTCCTACCTCCCCCATACTTAACTCTGGCTGGTGGACATTCCACCCTTTTCTCTCTTCTGCCCAGCCATTGGGTGATTGGAATTTATTAACCAGGCAGAGAATGAATGGTAAGAATTGTTTACACAAACTTGGAACAGGAGATTCTTGACCTAAGCATTACAATGCCATGTCTGGATTGAATGCCCAGTCTGCTTTGAGGGCAGAGAAATCAGCATTTGAATAACACAAAGATAACCTTTACACAGTGCACAAAACATTAAGCCTACATTCACATTTTTAAAGAAACCCGGGAAGAACGTGGTTTCAGCTAACCCTCTAAATTGCACAGAATGGTAAAATGCTGACAACACACACACACACACACACACACACACACACACACACACACACTTAGACAATGCAAATTCTACAGTTAGTATTTTGACTCAAACATTTATTAACCTTTCATACCTCTTCATTTTTCAAACGGCAGAAGGAAAGACAGAAACTACTAAATAGTATTAATTGACCCCTAGTTTCAAGCCAGACATGGTGGTGGTTAGTTCATACCTAAAATCCCAGAACTCGAAGCCAAGGCAGTAGGAATGCTGGCTCAAGACTTGCCTGGACAGCACAGAAAGACTTATCTCAAAACAAAACAAAACAAAACAAAACAAAACAAAAACCAAAACAAAACAAAAGAAAAGGAAAGAAAAGAAAAGGGATTCTTTAGTTCTAAACCATCAACTTATTTATGTTGGATAAAGCAATAAATTTTTTTTCAGGAAAAAAAGAGGATAGTTGGAGAATTTCAGATTTACTATAAAAATAGAATAGTCAAGACAGCATTTTATAGGTACAGATGACAAATACAGGTATGAAAACCTGTGCTATATCATATTGTATCAGGGAAATCCAAATGTAAACTGCAATGAGATACCACTGAAACTTATTAGAGCAGGTTCTAGGACATTGGCAATACCAATGTGATCATGTGAGACAACAGAATTCTTCCCTTGTTGGTTTGAATGTTAAATGGTGCAGCCACTTCAGGAAAGTTGGAGAGCTTTCACAAAACCCAAAACATCATCATAAAACCCAGTGACTGCATTCAGTTTACCTTGGTTGCTGAAAATTATACACACAAAACTCTACACATGGATATATAGAAGTTTTAATCATTCTTGTCAAAAATTAGAAACTAAGATGTCTTCCCATAGGTGGATGGATAAACTATGGTATCATCAGACAATAGGATATATAGTATTCAGAATCTGCTGCCCTGTGTCTGCTTCCCACTCTTGGTAGACAGGCCTGTTGTTCACCAAGCTGGACTGGAGGTAGGGAAGCTTAGCTAGATTCGTGAATGC